CACGATTGTTGTTTTGTTTTATTATTGTTATTATTATTAATTTAATTAGTATTATTTGAATTCGATAGTAAATATCAAAATCAGTTTATGTAGATTATAAAAAATCAAAAGTTACCATTCTTTTTGTACAACCCTATTTATTTATAGATACAAATGAGTACAAGAAATAATATAAATTTAAGTAAATAAAGCCTCACTCTTCTTAAATCATTTTGTATTGTCTTACTTGGTTAGTATTAAAGTGTAATAAATTAAAATATGGTATTCAGCACATCACCAGTAACACACTTATATGGACCAACACTAAAAAAACAAAACAAAAACATGGTATTGAATTAATATGATATATTGCTATCGGTAGTGAAAAAGGTTGTATGTAAACATTTTCCATTTTTATTCTTTTTGTGCTAAAGATGAAATTTTCTTGTCTGCAACTGCTATAAATATTTTGTTAGTATGGAAAATATCAGAGGGAAATAAAACATAGAATTATACCAATAAATAATAAAGACATAATCAATTTTATGCTATCTTGTGAAAAAAACTCAATTTTCGCATACAAAATTTTGCACTAACAGTAGTGATATATTATAATTTATCTTATCTTAACTATCCGAGAAATATATAAGACAATAATTCAGACGATTTCCAAATTTTATTAACAAGCTCCTCTCTTCTTGGTGACTTTCTTTTTTGAGTAAGCAAGTTGTGTTTACTTTTATAAAAACAGTTTTATGGATATTATATTTAAATCAGTATAAGTCAAATAGGAGGATATTCAAAGTTTCATTTCCTAATTGTTTACATTAAAGAATATCAAATTTCAAAAGGAAGCAATAATTAGTAATACTTTATTTATAAATTCATTTGTATTAGAAGTTGGTACTTGATTATATCACAACCATAACGTTACTTTCACTATATTTTCTGTATTCTATAAATATGGTATTGGGTTTAAATGATATATATCAATGACAATCTTATTTTCCAAGAACTTGTAGAGTGTAGTTTGTTTCGATAACTTTATATATATATATATATCTGATCTTTAAATGTTTAAATGATCTTTAAATGATATATATCAATGACAATCTTATTTTCCAAGAACTTGTAGAGTGTAGTTTGTTTCGATAACTTTATTGTACTAGTTAAGAAATATTTAATTCAATCGGATACATAAAAATAACTTATTCTATATTTTAACAACATTATTATAAAATAATGTTTAATGTTTCTTTAAAATGTTAGAATAGAATATTTTAAATGAAAAAAACGATTGCAAATCCAACTATGATAAATTCTTACGAATCACTTCAATTTAATGGTAAAACTCAATAATTTATGAGAAATGGAACATTTCCCGCCTAATGATTTTATTTCTAATTCAATATACTAGATAATACTTTCTATCATTCTATCTCTAGATAAATCTCAATGTGATAATTTAAAAAAGTTTCTGATAACTATTCTCACTTGATGGTTGAAATAAATATTAATTTTTAAAAAAAACCTTTGGATTATGCATAGGATGCTTTTAAATAAAAATAGAAAATACACTTGATATCCAGAAACAATTAAAAAGTTACAATATTTCTGTACTTTCAAATTCAACAGATTGCTTCCAAGTATATTATAATGTAACAGTACATTTATGCTTGTCAATTTTTCAGAAACAGTTAGCTTCAGTTATTCAATTTATAATTTAATTAAATCAATTTTATTTTATTTTTTTCATTACCCACTGGTATTCTTTGAATCCTATGTATTCAAATAAACACAAAAGCTGTAATGAATAGATTTACTCTGAATATAGTATTATATCAACTGACAAGTGATATAGTTTAGTTAACTTCCTGAGCAATGTATGAAACATAAAATTAAATAATATATTATAAATGCTATAGTTCATGTAATATTACACTTTTACAAACCTATTTAGTAAATAGTCACAAACCTCATGTTGATACTTCTGCAAAAGGAAAGATTTCCATTATTATGTTTTGTTTCATCTTTGCAAGATAAATTTCCTCATAAACACTTACTCATTAAATTAAATTCACTGTTTTTACTTCCTCATTTATTCTTTAATAATTGCATAACTGGTCATTTTGAACTATTGCAGAACTATTGAACTTGTTTGGTCATTAGTAGTGCTCTAAAACCAATATGTTATACATTTACCATTTAAGTACATTTACAAAATATTCTATTTCTCGACAAAATGCGAATTGACTTACTCTATTGTCATTCTACCCCCTCAAATATAAGAAATTCATATAAAAGATAAATAAACTAATTTATAACATTTTCCCATCAATGCTATATTAATCTTACTGTTGTTTATTATTAAACAAGTTGTTTTTCGTTATAAAGAAATATTCATTAATTAGTCCGCCTCTTCTTTTGATCTGAGCTTATATTTATTTGTTAATTATTTATCAATGTCATTATTACATTGATAAAGAACTCACAACTATCCAAAAAGTATGAGCATACAATGACTAATTAGTTATTTAACTAGTAGATAAAGAATGTATCATAGAAAAACTGACTATAATAAATTTGGTATTCGCTTTTATATTTAAAAACTAATTTTTCAAAATTATACCCAACATAGTACAGTCTGCAGTCTGAACTTTCAAAATTATCATATAGTCTCCAAAATGGTCTTGCTTTTGTGACTTCGTGGATCTTCCAAATGTATGATATAGTTATTTTTATCTTCGTATTTGGCTTATAATAATGACCGCACAAGCAAATTGTTAGCCTAATACAATTACCTAACTATATTTACTAAATTATAATAATTTTAATTATTTATTTATTTATTTTATTTTATGCAATTTGCACCTGCGCATCCAGCAAATTTGTTGTATTTTTATTGTCTTGGTGTAATTGCTTGATTTTTTTTTTTGATGTAGTAGGTCTCTTGGCCATTTTCTTCTTAATCTTCGTTGCTCAGGTAACAGAGAGCAGGAGATAGAAAGAACCAGAGGATTGGAGTGATTTTGGGTTGAAGAATGAAATGTAGTGTATTTGTCGTGGATGTAGGATTTTACTGTTGGGGTGTTTAAGTCGTTATGTATAGTAGTGTTTGAAATGTACCAAGGTGCGTTAACAATTTTTCGTAAAATTTTTGATTGTGCTGTTTGTATTTTGTTTATGTGTGTTTGTTTTGCTAAACCCTAAAGTTCTGCTCCATATGTCCATATTGGTCTCAGTAAGGTGTTGTAGATAAGTCGCTTGTTTCGTAAGCGACTTATCTACAACACCTTACTAATTATAATAATTATTATTCATATATGCTAAATCATCGGGTAATGAAATACTCTATTTAATATAATACATTTATGACCCCTCAGCGTAACTATTTGTGATGTACTTAATAACCAAATATTCCTAAAAGTGAATTAGGGTATTACTTTCCAACTGAAATTAATAATTTAAAAAACATTTTGCAAATAAAATAGGCTTTAAATAATGATAATCAAAGCTATTAAGTTATAACGTAAACCACTAAAAGGTGGTTATTTATAAGATACAAACTAAACTTAAAAACTTTCTGATACAGTATGAGATCTGTTTTGTGCAACTAATGTACTATTTACATACACAAAAATAAGATTTGAATTGACTTCTTGTCATTTTTCTGACATGATGGATCTACTACCACAAATAGATAACTCTAAAATTTTACAAATAAAATACAAAATATCAGTAAAAAGTTTGCTAGATAATTAATTAGGTGAGGACCACACGGTTTTGGGAGTGGTTCACAATCACTTCGGTCACACTTGTCAATGAAACAAAGAAAACAGTCCTTCGGATAAACTCGGATGCATTCGGTACTCCACGAACAAGTGTGGCCGGGAGATTGTGAACCGGGTAACTCGTACGTTCCTCATTTAAATACTTATTTTATCTTCGTAATGGACTTTTCTAAAATGTAAATAGAAAAAAAATTATAAAACAAGACTTATTTACATTTTTGTAAGTAAACGCTTCAAATGTAAATTTGATAACACGATTTTTAAAATATTACACGAGGTTATGTTTTTTTTTTTCAAAAATTCTTCAAGGTTTCTTGATCCGTAACGTTAATTCGAGATGGATCATTAAAAAAAAATGTTGTTACTTTAATAAATAATAATTTTTGAGCATAAATATTGAAATGTATTAAAAGAATATACGTATTGAAAAAACTTCATACATAATTAGATGTAATGATCATTCCTTCAGAAATGAATCATAACATAAACTGAAAATAATATATGATTTCTAAAATTGGCTAAGACATACATAAATGCAAATATTTAATCTCTTAATTTAAATTCTAGTCTCATATGTTTTGTAACAATAGTATTCGAGAAGTTGGTCAGCCTGTGAGAGAAACCAAAGTAACCTGTCATGTCGATTTTTGTGGTAGTTTAAGCGTGTGTTTGTTGTTTAAGAGTGAAACACAGTCAAAACCTCAATATTCGTCATTTTTGTTAAATATATTTCATATATATAGTACAAAGAAGGTACGTACATATTATAATTGACTTCTAAAAGGTTTATAAATTTTTAAATAATTTCAATGACAATTGAAATTGTTTGTTTATACAATTTTTCTTAAGGCCTCTTGTTTTTAAATGTAGTTTTCATGCTTTACAAGACATTTCATTAAGCTATGGCTTTTTAAAATATACTATCAAAGTTTTGCATTCGACTAACTTTGCTGAAATTAAGTGTGAAATGAATAAATGTGCATTATAAAATATATTTAGGTTATGAGAAAACTAAGTTACTTACATGGTCTTTTAATTTTTAAAATTTATAATTTTGATTTAATATTTTACAATATCTTTTATTGGTATTTTCCTTGTATTGAGCTCAGTTTTATCAGAGTTAACAGTTTTTTTTGTATTTTAAACTTCTAATTTGAAAAAAAATTATTAAATTTTTTTATCTAATATTTGTTTGTTACTACATTAAAAATGGGGAGTTTGGGGGAGGAATAACTACTTATATAAAATTTCTCATATTATTCTTGATTTGAACTTAGAGCAAAAAAAAGGAATGAAAAGAAAAAAAAAAAAAAGAAGGTAGATCAAAACAATTGAAACTTTGTTTTGATTTTTAATAGGCATTGTTATATTTTTTTCAGTTATTCTAATCAAAGTTTTTGTTAAGTATAATTTTGAAAATTACTTTTTTGGACACTTAGGAATTGAGTGAGTTTTTTTTATTTATATATTTAACTTAGAAGTGAGGTACAAAGGTATAATCCAGGTAAAATAAGTTTAACATTCACTTCATTCAATATTCAATTTGTTTATTTATTTATTATTTTAATTAATAAATATTTTTGTACCGGTAATGTGAATAATGAAGGAAAGAAGTATTTAATTTTTGCTGACACCTATAAGAAATTATCAGGACTAAGTACTGTACACATGAAAATAAATATTTCGATCAATATACATACATTATTAACATTGTCGGTTAGGTCTTAAATTTTTTTTTTTTAATAAAAACCACATTTGATCCTCAGTTCTATTTCATTTTTTCTTTATATCCAATGTTTCTGCCCCTTCACCATCTTCAAAGGATGAAATCTTAATTTATAAAATTAAAATAAAGTCATTTGGGCTAATTTACCCTTATCACATTATTTTGTCCATTACTGAACCTCACTTAAAATAAAAATAGTTTTTAATAAATTTATATTTTTGAAAAATTGTCTAATAATGTTAAATAGAATTTACAAAATATTAGTAAATTAATTAAAATTTATGGTTGGTAAAATTGACATTGTATAAAACTAGTAATATTAATCAAATTAAGATTATTAAAAGATTACAATGTACAAAGAATGAATCAATAAATTTTTTTAACGAAATTTAATTCAATTACATTAAATATAAATTTGTAACGTTTCGGCCCTTTTGTTACTCTTTCGGCCATGTTGGTTGCTGAAAGGTTACCCACAAAGTTTGAGATAAGGTTTACAAAAGATAACACCAGGTAGCACCACTATTGCTGGGGTATTCTCGTCAGTTCTTTAGTGTATAGATTAAGCAAACTATTACAGACAGATATTACCTCAATCTATTTTTTTTTTTTTTTTTTTATTATTCAACTATTATATTATTTATCATTATTGTTTTTCTATATTGCCCTTTTTTTTTCTTTTTTAAACTTCCAGATTTATCGTTATTAACGCTTTTCCTTTTGGTTATCCTAAATTAATGAAATGAATACTTGTTTGAATGATGGTTGAACGTTGTATATTTTAGAGGAAGGCGATGTTCCGGGGTGGCGGTCATAAGATAAGTAAAATAGTAAAAAAAAAAAATTATTTTATTTCAAGCCAACGTTTCGACCCGACTTTATAGTTAATACCGGTTCCCTGATTTAATAGAGAATATGATTGTAAATAATTTCTATAAAGAATAGAAAAAATTAGAACTATTATTGAAAACTTCGAAATCTAACCTCCCTGACCAAAGATATTTTCAACTATAGAATTAATTGCTATCAACAATTAGTTGGAATAGTTAACAAAAAGTTAATTGAATATTAATATTGCAGCAGTAAAGTGATCAATGACATATTTTTCTTACAATCGATCCAATGTGAACTTCGATATCATATATTGTTGACTTTTTTTCTGGAAATCGATATCAATGAGATTTGAATTAAAATATATTTTTATAATACTTAATCAACCATGAGTCCAACATTATACACAATGTGATAGTTTAATTTAACATTAAACAACTAATTAATTTTGTATATTTTTGGCTAGACTAGTGGTTGTGAGTACAGCATTATTAAGTACTGTCTCTATTTAACACGTGTTAGTAAAGTCATCATACCGACTTAATTATTAAAGCAGGTTAATTATTAAAATCGAACCTTTTTATAGTCGAATTATTGAAGTATTTACATCAGTATATTACTTAACTAATTTGATCTATCAAGAAATCGCTCCACAGAACCGATGCAATGGATCATTTGATTTATATGTATTTATTTAAATTTTCACAGGATTTTGTGTGTTTTAAACGAAACTGAATCGTGATCGATGTATATAACAAAATTGCTATTGCCTCTTTGCTCTGTGTTTGGGTAGTTAAGTGAAACCAATTTTATGTACGTATGTAATTGTTTATAAATTTACGTATTATACGTTTTGATTTAAATTTTAAAATAATTTTCAATAATCAACAGAACTGGCCAGGTTATTATTTGTTGCCATATGGTTTGTTTTTAAACGCTTAATTTTGGGTTATTTATTATCATATGAAAGTTAAAAGGATTGAAAGTGTTTTCAAATAGTATATTTAATACTGTTGAAATACAGTGTCGATACAAAGCTTTAGTGAACATTTCCGTTTCATTAGAGTACTGGATCGATGATGCATTTGACTGGGAAGTTTTGGTAGTCTAAAATTTATTTTTTCAATTTTCAGGAAAGCTTAGATAACAAAAATGCCGACCGAAGACTACAAAGAAGCCGACGAGAATGAGGATGAGGATTTGTCAAGGAGGCCCATCCCGCTATACCAGATCCTCCCCACCCCCATCCGCAAGAGGATCAAAGCCTTGAAGAAACTCCAGTTCCAAACGATTCAACTGGAGGCAAAGTTCTTCTGCGACGTCCACAAGCTCGAAGGCAAGTACACCAAGGCTTTTGCTCAGCTGTACCAGAAGAGGGAGAACATTGTCAAAGGTACCATTGAACCGACGGATGAAGACTGTGACTTCAACGAAGGGTACGACACCCCAGACGACGAAGAACCCGTCATCAAGGAGCTGAGGAGTAAGCTAACAATCACGAAGCTTGTCGAAGACGGAGCCACGGGCATACCCGAGTTCTGGCTCACAGTCTTCAAGAACATCGATATCCTCAACGACATGATACAGTCCCACGACGAGCCTATCCTCCGCCATCTTATAGACATAACCTCCACTCTCCGAGACGACGAAAGAATGGGTTTCATCCTACACTTCCACTTCTCGCAGAACCCTTACTTCTCGAACTCGGTCCTCACAAAGGAGTACCAGATGAAGTGTGCACCGGACCCGGACAGCCCTTGGACCTTCGAGGGTCCCGAGATAATCGGAGCTACCGGGTGCACCGTCAACTGGAACAAGGGGATGAACGTGACGGTGAAGACTGTGCAGAAGAGGCAGAAGCACAAGTCTGGTGGAGCCGTCAGAACCATTATAAAGACTGTCCAGAACTCCTCCTTTTTCAACTTCTTCACACCGCCGACTATCCAAGACGACCAGGAGGGTACTGAAGAGATCCAAGAGTTGTTGGAGAACGACTACGAGATCGGCAGCTTCATCAGGGAGAAGATAATCCCCCACGCGGTGCTGTATTACACAGGCGAGGCGGTGGACATCGAGACGGAAGAGGAGATGGAAGAGGACGAAGACGGCCGGGACAACGAAGACGAATCCGAAGAAGGGGAGTCGCAGGGGAAGCAGGACTCGGAGGAAGGCAGCGCTGAAGGGGAAACGGACGACGAGTAGCTGGCCAATGGTAGAACCAAATTGTAATAGATATTACAATAAACCGTAGTACTGTAGTCTGCCTAGTTCTTCTTGTCCTTACTCTATTTATTCTAATTATTCAATCGAATTAATTTAAAAAAAATTTTATAATAGATTACAGATAAGAATTTTGTTTAAATTTCAAGTAGCAAATTACCACCCTTAGTTTTTATTATAGAAATATCCATAGTTTATATTATAGAAATATCGATATAGAATCGTCGATATTTGAATATATAAAAAAAATAATTAAAACCATTGTTTTCGGAAAGCGCTGAGAATTATATAAGAATCTGATTGTTAGAAAAAAATTATTCTCATCGTGCAGTTATAGAATGTAGTCTGTAGTAGAGGAAAATATCGATATAAACTATATATATAAACTATCGATGGCGATCCCCAAGTAGAGTTGAATAGCGCGGGTGGGATCCTTCTCATTCAGTCAACTCAATTTGTCCAAATTTGTTAGAACCTTCTCAAAACAAGGCTACGAGTTGTCAAAGAAAGCTATGTAGGATACAAAAAAATTAGCATTTAGCTCAAACGAATGGATAATTGGTTGTATGGAAATTTCTGGAGAAAATGGACAGGAACTTTTTTTTTTTTTTTTTACGTTACTTTAAATCTTTTTATTGAGAAATAATACATTTTGCCACATTTAAGGGCGCTGAGTACTAAAGCTGAGAGAGGTCCATTCATACTATATATAAAATGCAATAAAAAAAAAAAAATAATAAAAATAAATAAATAAAAATATATATATATCTAAATAACAAAGGTAAAAACTATAAAACTAAAGAAATGTGTAACGAATTCAAATTAAAAAAAAAATAATAATAAAAAAAAATACAGAAATTGGTAGCAAATTAAATAAGTCATATGTAAAACAAATAGAAATATAAAAAAGAAAAACATTCATACTTAATATATAAAAAAAAAAAACATTCATACTTTATGGACAGGAACTAACTCCACTTTAACATTTTTGAGTAAAGTCATTTTAGTGATATTTCTAGTAGGATATATAATACTTGTACGGAAAGTGGTTAAGTTGATTTGGGGGTGGGGTGGCCGAATGGGCTAAAGCGTGTGCACAGGACCGCGACTTGCCTGGCAACCGGATTACAGATTTGAGAAGATTTAAAAAGTACGCGTTCGCGTCCCGGTGCCCCCCCGTCCCGGTAAAAGGGGATTTTAAATTCTTCCCTCCCCCTCCCCCCGTATAACCTAAAAGGCGAGGTAAAAGAAAAAAAAAAATAAAAGAGATGAGATGATGTTGGGGTAAAGTCTGCGGTGAGGATCTGATGTTACTTTGGATGAAAAAAAAAGAAGGTTAAATTGATTTCAGGTTTAGAAATATTGGACTATAAATAAAGGTATAAATTTCCCACCAGAAATATTTCTAAAATTAATCATCAAACATGTTGAAATTGGAGTTAGTCATTCTGTCAATTATAAGACTCATTTTGTAACGTTTGCAGGAATCTTTTCTCCCTGTTTCAGGATATGATATGCCCCAAAATTTGGTAATTCACCAGGTAAGTGTGATGATTTATTAGATTGACCTATAGATAAATAATAGTGAAAATATAATTAAGAAACAAGGTCAAAACTGAAAAATTTATGGGTCTTTTTTACTTGAATATCGCCAGACATTTTTTAATAATAAATAAAGTAAAATGACAGTTATTACTTAAAAATAATATGTCATAAAAGAATAAGTATTTTATTAAAAATTAATATTAAACAATCGATAACACAAAATAGGTTAACTTTGAAGATATATACAAATATTCTAAATATTTAACAATATTAATCTTCAGGAAGCCATAGGTTTCTCATTGTCTGCAATACTTTATCAGATAAAAATAAATCTTCATGTCTTCTAAAAAAAAAATCTTAAAGGTATGAGTCAAATCTTTTTTTTTTTTTTTTTTTTTTTATTTTAGATGATATTTACAACTGTATAAAAAAAAATAGTAAATTTGCACATTGGTATAAAGACATGGAACACATGTTGAGAAACTACCCATTGGTAGCACTCTAATAATATGTCTATATTAGAAGATCACGTGGCCATCTTCTTTTCAGACGCCTCGGAGGGTTATCAGGAATCGAATAGGAAGCAAGGTTAGATACAAGAGGGTTGGGATGGTTATGAAGTTTATTATGGAAGGACAGATATCTGGATTGGGCCAAATCTGATACATAAGGAACATTAAGGTCATTATGGATAATTTTATTTGTAACAAAGTAAGGAGCATTGAGGATTTTACGAAGGATTTTGGATTGCAAGGACTGTATGCGAGAGGAATTTGAAGGCTTGGTGGAGCCCCATAGCTCAACCCCGTAAGTCCAAATAGGCCTTATTATAGTCATGTAAATCAGTCTTTTATAATTGATTGGAAGGTTAGAGCGTTTGTCTAGTAAGTGTTGAAGTAGTCGGAAACGTCGAGCGGTTTCTTGTCGTTTCAGTCTGGTATGAGGATTCCAAGTTAGACGTTTGTCCAGATGGAGTCCTAGGTAACGGATTTGTTCAACAGGAATAAGTGAGGTGTTGTTAAAGGATACTGAAGGACAGGAAGTCATTGGTTTACGACGAAGGGTGAAGGTAATTTGATGGGATTTATTGGAATTTATTTTAATTCTCCAGTTCTGACACCATTCTTCAAGGTTTGTGATGTGGGATTGAAGGGTTTGGGATGCAATAGATGGGTCGTTATTGACTGATAGGATACAAGTGTCATCGGCATAGGTGGTGATGACAGTGTTGGGATGGGTTGGGATGTCAGCTGTATAAACTGTGTAAAGGATAGGACCTAGGATACTACCATGAGGAACACCTGCAGACTGGGAAAAACGGGATGTATAGACATTGTTGTGATTTACTTTAAAGTATCTATCAGTAAGGTAGGAACGGATAATGAGGAAGTAGGTAGATGGTAGGAATTTTCGGAGTTTGTACAGCAGTCCCGGGTGCCAAACTCTAGAGTCAAATCTACTTCTTAATTTTAAGAAGTTTTTTTTTTTTGTTAAATTTCATACTCTTAGTAAAACAATAGCTTTATGATCCTGGTTATTACCTCACGTGTACAATCGTAATAACTTAACAAATCTTACACTTTTGATAAATTTTGGGTTATGGATATCTTCAAAATAAATTCAATTCAATTTTTTTTATCACATGCAATTTTCTCTTTGCGGATTAATTTAGTTAATAGTTGGTTGATTGCTTTGTTGTTTTTAGGCGTAAAACATTTAGGTCATCAGTGCCCGATTCATAAAATAATATTATTATTAAAATATATAGCTATATACTTGTAGTATTAATATACTTTATCTAACAAAAAAATAGTTTATTAAGAGCCATAGCAATAAAGCTTGGAAGTATATATATTTTATTTATGTTTATTGATTTGTTTTCGGAAATACCTTATGATGTATTTTTATTGAACTGGGTAATTATTCAACTGAACTTTATAAATGATAATAGAATTTTTTTTTTTTTTATCTATTTATTGAATAATAATACAATCAGCCACTGCTGGAGGGCTATAAGTATTAGGGCTAAAAGTTCTCATTCATACAATATATACAAATAATAAAGAAATAAATATAAATATAAAAAGTAAATAAATAATACTGATGAAGAAGGTAAATAAAAATAAACAAATAAAATAAAATAAAAACTTCTAAACACAATCATAACTATATACAATATATACATTTGCCCAAGAATCTCCGAGCCAGGCTTTTCCCTCCACACGCGGAAGGCAAAGTAAGACTCCGGAAGATCCCAGTGCCACTTTTCCAGCCGCATCACTAGTATTAGAAGCCAGTGGAGACTGAAAGAGGGCACTACAGCCACAGACTCTCAGGACATGAGCGGAGAAGCTGGCCATTGCCAGGACTCCAAAGGCATATTTACAAAAGATCTCGAGGCCACTGCCGTTTCAACCTTCGAGGGGGATGGTATGGATGCTCGGAGCTGGGATTGCGCTAGAGGATTGGGATGATGAATGAGGTTCTGGTGAAAGTTGGAGAATCTGGATGGGATGATGTCATGGACATATGGGATGTTAAGGTCATGGTGTAGGGTCTTGTTCGTGACATAATATGGAGCATTGACTATTGTTCGAAGGACTTTGGACTGGAAGGATGATAATAGAATAGATTGACAAGATGAACCAGAGAATATAATTAGGTTGACTGTTTTTGGGTGTTTTTACTGATTTATATTGGTGTTAATATACTTTAACTAAAGAAAAATAGTTTATAAACCTGTTAACAGGGGGAATTCCCTTTTTAATTACGCAGCATATAACGGGCAAGAACTCTTTCACTAAGACGTGTCTGTATGTCACACCAGGAGGACATAATTTCATATTATTATTTTATACGAAAGGTTCATATTATTGGCATGACTATGAAATATATATATATTTTCGTTTATTTATATATAAAGCGCAAAGTGAATATAAAATTACAAACTAATTGAACGTTAACAGGTTAAGAGCCAAAGCAATAGTACTAGGAAGTATATGTATATATTTGTTGATTTGTTTTCGGAAATATGTTTGTATGTGTTCTATAACTGTTGGGATGTGTAGGTTTTTATGTAAAGTAATGATTATGACGTAAGCTTCAGTAGGCTTGAAACAAGAAATTCAGAAAACAAGAACAAGGAAAACTTTTACAACCAAAAAAGTCATATTTTTTTATATTTTCACATATAACTTCTAAACGATTCATTAAAGCGAAAAATGTACTCTTTAAGAACATTAAATTTTGCGTCGAAGGAGTACCTAAATTTAATAATTTATTTAAGTGGTATTGTAGAAAACGGTCAAACAACGTTAATTTTTACCAAATTTGTCAAAAACTGAGAAAAAATACTCTTAATGACCCTACAGCTTAGAATTCCCTTAAAGGAAAATCCCAGATAATTAAAGTTGCAGATCGTCAAAGTTTGCGTCCATTGAGTACTAACATTTTTGATGTAGGTAAGTATATCTCTCGGACC